TGACTTGGCTTGGGTGGTGGAGAGAGCCCTCTTAACTGGAATGGGTTACCTTGTGGGAATGTGAGGTCCCTATTACTGGAGGCACCTAAGCACGGGCTAGAGTGGGAGCTCTTGGGGATGCTATAAAGGAGCTTCTTGCTTGGGGTGAAGTGGGGGAATTGGACTTGGTGACATGTGATGGGTTGCCCCTCCTAAACACCAAAATTTTTCGTTGCTAATGTTCTTTTATTCTAAATTCCACAAGCCTACAATTTGAAATCTCTAAACATTCTGAGAGTCTGATTTTTTTTTTTTTTTTTTTTGGCTGTGCCGTGTGGCTTGTGGGATCTTAGTTCCCTGACCAGGGACTGGACCATGGAATGAACCTGGGCCCCGTCAGTGGAAGTATGGAGTCCTAACCACTGGAACACCAGGGAATTCCCCTGAGAGTCTGATTTTAACAAGGATCTTAAGGTAGCCCAGAAGAGGCCAAAGCTTTGGAATCAGAAATAACCTGGTTCATATTCAGGCTCTGCCATTTATTAGCTGTATGACCTTGGAGAAATTGCTTTCCCTCTCTCATCCATGGTTTCCTCCCCTGAGGAATGGAGATGATAATGCCTGCCTCACAAGGTTGCAAGGAAGATTAAAAGATGGTATATAAGCGTAGCACCTGGTTTGGTTTCCATCCCACAAGACGCCACAGAGTCTTAGATTTTGTTATTTATTTATTTATGGCTGCGTTGGGTCTTTGTTTCTGTGCGCGGGCTTTCTCTAGTTGCGGCGAGCAAAGGCTACTCTTCATTGTGGTGCATGGGCTTCTCATTGCGGTGGCTTCTTTTGTTGCGGAGCGTGGGCTCTAGGTGCACGAGCTCAGTAGTTGTGGCACACGGGCTTAGTTGCTCCGCGGCATGTGAGATCTTCCTGGACCAGGGCTCGAACCCGTGTCCCCTGCATTGGCAGGCGGATTCTTAACCACTGCGCAACCAGGGAAGTCCCTATTTTTAATTTTTTTAATAATCTTTTTTTCCTGACCGCGCCATGTGGCTTGCAGGATCCTAGTTCCCCCACCAGGGATCGAATCTGTGCCCCCTGCAGTGGAAACACAGAGTCTTAACCACTGAACTGCCAGGGAATTCCCAAGTCTTATATTTTGGAAACCTCCTCACTAAGATCCAAATTTCTCCTTGGGTGCAGTATGGTGACACAGTGAGCTCTGGTGCCAGACTGCTTGGGGCTTAGTACCAAATGTCTCTGAACCTCAGTTTCCTCATCTGCCTAATCGGGATAATAACAGGACCTACTTCCTAGGATTATCTTGAAAGTTAAATGAGATGATCCACCGAAAGCAGTTATGTTAAGCAGTTGGTCCTGTAAACTCTCATTATTACTTCCATCATTGGGTCTTGGAGGTCAGGAGTGTTGAAAACTCTGCTACCTGCCTTGGATCCCGAGCACGGAGGTCTCCCTATCTCAGATGAGGGCCTGAGACCGCTGGTCCAAGGGCCTGAGCCTGCAGTGCCTTCAGTGGGAAATGGAGACTGGTGAACTGATCGGCTCCTCTCTTCTGCCTTTTCCCTTCCCCCTCTCCTATCCTTTGAGAGTGAACTGGTTTCCTCTGGGAGCTCTGCCCTGGGGTTTGGTGGGAAGCCAGGCCTGTGTGTATGTGTCTGGAACGCCAATTTCTGAGCCACAGCAGAGAGGCATCAGCTGACCACAGAGGAGGGATAATGCATTCCTCCAGCTACAGAGTTCCTGGGGGTGGAGTGACAGGGGCACAGCTGATTGGCATTGCCCATACTGTGTGATCATGGACACACACACACACACTCTGTCTCTCTCACAGATATGCACATAAAATACACATACACATCTCTATATACACACGTACACATATACGCATGTACATGCATACACCACTGTTTTCTCTGACTCTACATCCTTCTTCCTTCTCTGCTAGCCTCCTCTTATTCTGCACACATCATCCCTCTTCTTCCTCCTTTCCCATTATAACCACAGAAAACAGTCTCCCAGGGCAGGAACTCTGTTTCAGGGCTTTTTCTCGTCTGGGGCTTATTAAGTCTTTTTAAAGCAGGGCAGTACGTGGGGGGACTTTTAAGGATCTGGTTTCAGGCTTTGGTTCTGGGAAAGGAGTCTCATCTCCCCTCTGGTCTCTTGCTTCCCTCCTGATCCCCGCCGCCCACCCCGCTACCTTCAGAATGAAGCTTCCAAAAGCCAAGTAAAATGCAGTTCTCATTTATCATTGTTTACTGTCAATTTTCTCAGGTTGCCCTACAATCTTCAAGCACACTCATACTTGAAAAATATCAATGCATATATATAATTCTGTATTTCCTTCTTTCTTCTTTCTTTCCTTCCTTCCTTTCTCACCTTGTCTCTTTCTTCTATATATTTATCGAGTGTCATGTATATGTCAGACGGTTGCTTGGTTTGTTTCACTTGTGTCTACCCTGTTTTGATACTTATCACTCTAAATTAAAGCTATTTGATTGATGCTTGTTTTCCAAGATAATTACAACTCATATTTTTATTTTTTTAAAAAGGTTTTTGTTTATTTAGAAGACACAGACTAACATTATTAGATGGTAAAGTTCACAAATGGGTTCATTTCATTCCTTAGTTGTTTTTGGTTGCATTGGGTCTTCGTTGCTGTGCGCGGGCTTTCTCTAGTTGCGGTGAGCAGGGCGTACTCTTCGTCGTCGTGTGCGGATTTCTCATTGCAGTGGCTTCTCTTATTGTGGAGCATGGGCTCTAGGCGCAAGGGCTTCAGTAGTTGCAGCATGTGGGCCCTAAAGCACATGGGCTTCATAAGTTGCAGCACGTGAGCTCAGTAGTTGTGGCTCTCAGGCTCCAGAGCGCAGGCTCGGTAGTTGTGACGCACGGGCTTAGTTGCTCTGCGGCATGTGGGATCTTCCTGGACCAGGGATCGAACCCGTGTCCCCTGCATTGGCAGGCGGATTCTTAACCACTGCGCCACCAGGGAAGTCCCACAACTCTTATTTTTAAATGCTAATTATGTAGTACAGGAATTGTGTTAAGCAGTTTACCAATATTATTTTATTTATTCCTCATAATAATCCCATGGATAGTAATTTTAATATCCCCATTTTATAGATTATGAAATGGAAGCTGGGGCTTCCCTGGTGGCGCAGTGGTTGAGAACCACCTGCCAATGCAGGGGACACGGGTTCGATCCCTGGTCCGGGAAGATCCCACATGCTGCGGAGCAACTAAGCCCGTGCTCCACAACTACTGAGCCTGTGCTCTAGAGCCTGTGAGTCACAACCACTGAGCCCGCGTGCTGCAACTACTGAAGCCCACGCACCTGGAGCCCGTGCTCCTCAATGAGAAGCCTTCGCAATGAGAAGCCCGTGCACTGCAATGAAGAGTAGCCCCAGCTCGCTGCAACTAGAGAAAGCCCGTGCGCAGCAGTGAAGACCCAACACAGCCAAAAATAAATAAATAAATTTATATAAAAAAAGAAATGGATGTTTATAGGTTAAAAACGTCACCCAGGACCACAGAGATAGAAAATGGCACAGTGTTATATGTCAATTATATCTCAACAAAGATGGGGAAAAAAAGGCACAGTAGGAATTTGAACACAGAAAATCAGAATCCAAAGTTCCTGTTCTTAACCACAATGAGATCCTGCCTCCCAGTGGGCTGTATGTCCTGTGAGGTGAGACACTATCTTGTTTACAACTACTTGTTTATGTACTTACCACTGTGTCTGGCATATAGTGGATATTCAATAAATATTGTTGAATGAATGAATGAACTGTGAACTCATCCTTTGCTGCTATGTAGGCTGCAGAAATGAGAAGGAGGGATATGGGCTTAGAAGCCAGAGAGACCCAGGTTTGCATAGAGATCTGTTCTTACTAGTGCTGTGCCTCAATTCCCTCATCTATAAAATGGGGATAATATAAAGACTGTGCAGGATTCATGTGAGGTTTAAACGACAATGTATATTAATCAGCCAGCTCATGTGCCAATGTATAGCAAACTGAACAAATGACATCTATTTTTTATATGTACATGTGCATATAATACAACCGCATTATGTATGTGGCCTCAGTGGGGTTTTTTTATTTAAAAAAATGTATTTATTTTATTTATTTATCTTTGGCTGTGTTGGGTCTTCAATGCTGGGCACAAGCTTTCTCTAGTTGCGCCAAAGGGGGATGCTCTTCGTTGTGGTGCGCCGGCTTCTCAATGCGGTGGCTTCTCTTGTTGTGGAGCACGGGCTCTAGGCGCGTGGGCTTCAGTACTTGTGGTGCCCGGGCTCAGTAGTTGTGGCTCGTGGGCTCTAGAGCACAGGCTCAGTAGTTGTGGTGCATGGTCTTAGTTGCTCTGCGGCATGTGGGATCTTCCTGGAGCAGGGCTTGAATCTGTGTCCCCTGCATTGGCAAGCTGGTAGGCGGGTTCTTAACCACCGTGCCACCGGTGAAGTCCCCTCGGTGGGTTTTCAGTGATATAGAGCCATTCCTCTCTTGTTGGATACTTGGCTTGGCCTCTAGTTATTTGCAAACAGAGGTTTGCTGTGGACAATTTGTATACGTACCTATTTTCTTGTGAGTTTTTTTTTTTTCCCTTGATGGTATCTTATGTGGAGGATTCTACCTGAAGATGTAGGGAATCTACAGACTGATGTGGCCCTATTTATTGCCTAACACATCCCAGGTAGGAGTGGAAGATGGAGACAAGAGGCAGAGATGAGGGCTGCTTGAGATGCGCAAAGTGATGGGATTTTTCTGGTAATGATCACACCTCACTTGTGTGTTTGGCAGCTGTCTAGCAGAGTGGGTCAGTGCCCAGGCACCAGTGTCAAACAAGCCTAGGTTTGAATCCCAGCTCTGCCCTTCTCACAGATGTGTGACCCGGGCCAATTAGATCTTCTAAGTTGTAATTTTCCCTTCTGTATAATGGGAGTGTTCTTAACGGTAGCTACTCCACGAAGCTACTGTAAAGTTGAGAAAACACATGAAAATGCTTAGATCTAAGCCTGGCCAATAGTAAGCATTCAATAAAAGTGATTATATTGATTGCATAAGATTCACAGAGTACAGTATATTTCCCCATTGATTTAATCCTGACACAGTCCCTGTGAGGTAGGGGTTATTAGGACCTCCATCTCACAGATGAGGAAATTGAGGCCTAGAGAACTGAAGTGCCGGGACCAGGGTCGATGTGTTGCTCACACAGTGTCTGAGCAGGGTTCGTAAACCAGGTCTCCAGAGGCCCAGACCCAGGGCCCCACCGTCTAGCTTTCTTCTCTCACACCAGGAGTTGTGGGTTCTTCTCTGGCCAGTGTGGTACTTCAGGCTTTTCCGTATTCGACTGTGAACAGAACAGGGGCTTAATCTCTTAAACTCCCTTCCAACTTCGAAGTGGGGACAGTGTTCACCCCTTACCCAAGCCCTAAACAGCCAGCAACGCGTTCATCCCAGAGGGCGGGGCCTGGCAGCGTTAGACACCAGGCCCCACACTAAGCCACGCCCACAGACCAAAGCTCCAGCCCCACAGTGGGAAACCAGCTCCCTCAAATCTCCTCCACTAGCAACCTGCCTGCGAAGTCCCTCGCAGCTCGTGTCTACCTCTTAAACTCAAGCCCTGTCCCTGGAGTCCAGCGCTCCGCCATGTGCAGCCCACCCCAACGCCCAAAGCCTCGCACCAGGATCCACGGTTCCGTCTCTTTTTCTTGTGCTCCCAAGTGGGCGAGCTACGGCGCCGGCCCTCCACGGCCTTGCCGGGTGCAGTCTCCTCCACAGGGTCTTAGGGTCCAGCCGCTGACACGAAGTTCCGCCCCCTAATGGCCCTCTCCATCCCACTTCATCCGCTGGTTGCTTTAACTCGTGGCACCGCCCGGACACCCTTATGACCCCACCCCCATGTAGTCCCACAGCATATCCTTCGGCTCTTGGACCCCACCCCTGCCCCCTCTAGCTTGACTGTGGCCACGCCACTAACCGTTAGCCACACCCACATATAGCCCCGCCCCTCTAGGCTCCACCCCCGGAGGCCAGTGGTAGGGTGGCGGCTGGCCCAGCCGGGCCCCGCCCGCCCTCCGCCCTAGGCGCTGGGTTGGAGCGGGCCGGGCACTGCGGGGCAGGGCGAGCGCGGCGGCCCGGGGGCTCGGAGGCGAAGATGGCGTCAGGCAGGCGTGCCCCGCGCACCGGGCTGCTGGAACTGCGCGCCGGGGCGGGCTCGGGGGCTGGAGGCGACCGGTGGCAGCGGGTGCTGCTCAGTCTAGAGGAGGACGCGCTGACCGTGAGCCCCGCCGATGGCGAGCCCGGCCCGGAGCCCGGTGCCCAGCGGGAGCCGGAGCCCGCGCAGCTGAACGGCGCCGCCGAACCGGGCGCCAAGTCCCCGCCGCTGCCGGAGGCGCTGCTGCTCCAGCGGCGCCGCGTGACGGTGCGCAAGGCCGACGCCGGCGGGCTGGGTATCAGCATTAAAGGTGGGCGCGGGGCCACCGAGCGCACGGGTCGTGGTGTCTGTGGGACCGCCGAGGGCGCAGAGGTCGCGGGGGCTGGCAGCGTATTGAGGACATGGAGTTGGATGGCTTCTGTCTGGGGGGTAAGGGCGTCTGAGAGGACAGAGGGAACCGAGGGCACCAGGAGCACCAAGGTCGGAGAGGGCTTTGAGGTCTCAGTCAGAAGGCACAGGTGTGGAGGGCGTTGGGGACTCACCAAGGACACGTGTGAGTGGGGAGTTCTGTGTGGAGGCAAAGAGATCTGAGACTGGTTGCCTAGTCTAGGATTGCATGGCGATCAAGAACAACAGGGACCCCAGGAGAGCAAAGGATGGAGAAAGGAGACTGAGACCTGGGGTGCTACTAGGGCAGGGAGGGGGAAGTCTTCAAGACACAACCGAGGTGGGAGGGAGGAGTAAGGCCTGGAGTAGGAAACATGGCTGGTGGGGAGATTGGAGACTAGCTGGAGCCGCCAGCTGGGCTGGGCTCACAGACAGGGGGCCAGAAAGGACCTAGAAATCTGAGGACCTAGAAAGGCTGTGGACCTAGGTGAAGAGCCCTAACAGCTGGGTTTGAGTTTCCTGATCTGACCATTTCCACCTTCCACAGGATTGAGGTGGGCTCTCAGCCCCCAGTACTGACAGCTTTCTTTAGGGGGCAACCCAGACTGAAGTCCAGAATCAGCTGTGTGAACTTAGACAAGTCATTTCCCATCTCCGAACCTCAGTTTCCTCAACTATATAATGAGGGTAATGGTAGAATTGGGATGTTTCTATGAAAACAGGAGTCCAAAGTACTCACCCTGCCAGCACCTAGTAGGTGCCTGGAGAATTATGGCTGTTAGATGAGAGGAAGAATAGAGGTCACGAGAGACTCCCAAAGTAGCTAACCTCGTGCTAAAAAAACTGCACACCCCAGCTGTTGGGTTCACCATTCCTTCCTGAAGGGGTGGGGATGGTGGTGACTTGGCTACCACTGTGTGCCAAGTGCTGTGCCCAGTACTCTAGGCTCATGATCCACTTCATCCTGGCAACAAGTACTAAAAGGTAGGAAGCATAATCCTCATTTAGTAGGTGAAGAAACTGAAACTCAGAAAAGTAAAATGGTTTTCCCAGGGTCACACAGTCAGTGAGCGACAGAGCTGGGATTTGAACCTCAGTTATGAGGCCCCTAGAGAGTGTCCAGAGGAGTCGGTTCTTCCCCATGGAAGGGCAAACTTCCATGCAGCCAACCAAAGGGATCTAAAAGGGGAAAATGGGAAAGCCAGGGAGTGGGCACCAGTTTTGCCTTCAAACTCCGGCATGGGATAGGGCAACAGATCAATCCAGAAATTGTACACTCAATGTGTTAAACAGGAAGGAACTTAGAGTTCACACAGAGTTCCATTTTGCAGATGGACAAACTGAGTCTTGGAGAGGAGGGGGACTTTCCAAGGTCACATAAAGTTACCTCCTAGCGTCATACTTCCAGGTGGGAGTAGGGGTACTTTTTGGAGGTGTCAGGGGAATACCAGCTCCATTCAGTTCTTCATGTATGGAGACTGGGCTCCTGTTGCGACGTTGACCTTTCCTTTAGGGTCCAGCCCAGCCCAGGCATCCAAGAATAATCATGGATTCAAACTGAACTGAAGTCCCTAATTTCAGGCAGAAGAGGGCAGATAGATATAAATAGAAACTCCTTCCTTTCCTAGGTCTCACGCTCTGTGTGGTGCAATGAACAAACTGTTGGGCCTGTGTGGGGGTCTGGAGAGGCATTCCAGTCCTACTTCTGCCACCAGTTTGTTGGGTGACATTGGAATTATGACCTGGGCCACTTGTTCCTCATCTTTGAGGATGGAGCACTAGTATGATACCTGAGGGCCTGACTTGTAGTCTACCATAGAGTTAAGAGTGTTGGTTCTGGAGCCAGGAGACCTAGGTTCAAATACTGGCTTTGCCGCTAACCAGCTGGGTGACCTTGGGCAAGGGGCTTCTCTCCACACTTCAATTTTCCCAGTAGGAATCTGAGCATGCCTGTGTGACTGGGGTGTTGTGGAGATGCAACGAGACAAGATTGAAAGCATTTAGCATGGTGTTATTACTGTTTCTGATTTTAAAAGGACATTCAAGAATTTAGAAATAAGGCAATGTGGTAAAATGTATTAGGTTTTTTTTTTTGGCTGCGTTGGGTCTTTGTTGCTGTGCGCGGGCTTCCTCTAGTTGTGGTGAGCAGGGGCTACTCCTTGTTGTGGTGCGTGGGCTTCTCATTGCCGTGGCTTCTCTTGTTGCGGAGCATGGGCTCTAGGCGTTCAGGCTTCAGTAGTTGTGGCGCGTGGGCTCAGTAGTTGTGGCTTGCAGGCTCAGTAGTTGTGACACGCGGGCTTAGTTACTCTGCGGCATGTGGGATCTTCCCGGACCAGGGCTCAAACTCATGTCCCCTGCATTGGCAGGCAGATTCTTAACCACTGCACCACCAGGGAAGTCCCCAGATAGGCTTTTGAAATCTCTAGACTCTAAGGCCTTGGTTTCTAGCCTGGATCCTAGGTTGTAAAGCTTTCTGATTGCTAAAGAGATCCTTCGTGGCCATAGCAATAGCTGACTTCTATCTTTATTCTTTTTTTTTTTTTTTTTTTTTTGCGGTATGCGGGCCTCTCACTGTTGTGGCCTCTCCCATTGCGGAGCACAGGCTCCGGACACGCAGGCTCAGCGGCCATGGCTCACGGGCCCAGCCGCTCCGTGGCATGTGGGATCTTCCCGGACGGGGCACGAACCCGTGTCCCCTGCCTCGGCAGGTGGACTGTCAACCACTGCACCACCAGGGAAGCCCTCTGTCTTTATTCTTGATTAGAGGCTATCAGTGGGTTCCCCCATTATGGGAAAATTGCTTAAAATCCAAAATAAAATAAGAAAAAAGTTTCTGAAGGACCTTGTAAGTTACTCAAACACTGGTGAACACCCAAAGCATTTAACCAAAAGATACATTATAACATTATAAATCTAGAAAATGACTTGCAAGTGTTATTAGTGTCCTAACTTCTAAGGCTCTTTTCTGAGGTTCTCTTTACTCTCCACTCCCCATTTCCCAGCACTGGTTTGGACACGGTGAGAGACCTTCAGAAATAATTTTGCCTCGATGTGACTCGCAAGTGTTGGAGTGTCTGCCTCAGTTTCTTCCTCTTTCCGTGCTTGTGCAGGGGGCCGAGAGAACAAGATGCCTATTCTCATTTCCAAGATCTTCAAGGGCCTGGCAGCCGACCAGACGGAGGCCCTCTTTGTAGGGGATGCCATCCTGTCCGTGAATGGGGAAGACCTTTCCTCTGCCACCCATGATGAGGCGGTGCAAGTCCTAAAGAAGACAGGCAAAGAGGTGGTGCTTGAGGGTAAGCATTGGGGACCCCAGGGGTGTTCAGTTCTTCCCTACCTTCCCCAGACCTCATGCAGTGTGGGCTGGGAGGTGGGCAGGGTTGAAAACAGAAACAGAACTTGGGGATCCGCCTTGAGACAGCAAGGGCGGTGGCCCAGAGCCAGGCTGACCTGGCTTTCATTTCCTCTCTCCCACTCCCTAGCTCTGTGGCCTTGGACGAGTCACCTCATTCCCCTGAGCCTTACTTTCCTCATCTGTAGGGCAGGGATGTAACTTCTGCCTTACTGGGTTGTGGAAGGAGGACAAAAGGTCCATGGCAGGCAGGATCTGCCACCCAGTGAGTGACTCAGGGGAAGAGAAGGGCGGGGACTGGCAAAGGGGCGGCTAAGATTCTTTCCTGAGGAGCCAGGGGAGCTCTCAACTCTGAGTTCTCCTAAAACCCTGAGACCCATCTTGCTTTGGGAGGGGACTTGGCCTTTATGTAGCAGGACATCAAATACTTCCAGCTAGGCTCAGAGAGGAGTATTATTTTTGGGCGGGGGGGACTTGGTGGCTCCCCTCCACTATCCCGTCACTGTGTGGTCTTAGATGAGACCTTGGCTTTCTCCGGGACTCGGTTTCCCATAGGTTGTTACAGTCTCTTGCTGGGGTGGTCCCAACTTCTGCCTTTTGCCAGCTCTGTCAGGAGGTTTCTGCTCTGCTCAGCCTTTTCATCAAACTCCACTCTGTGGGATAGGGAGGGTAGGAGGGAGATGCAAGAGGGAGGGGATATGGGGATATATGTATACATATAGCTGATTCACTGTTATACAGCAGAAAGTAACACAACATTGTAAAGCAATTATACTCCAATAAAGATGTTAAAAAAACCCCAAAACCAAACCCCCAAAAAAACTCCACTCTCTCAGTTCCGGAAGCCATGGGGGCCTGAAGAATGTGTCTTTGGCTCCTGGCCCAGAACAGGCACACGGAGGTGGCGGGGGCTGATGGAGAATGCCATGGCCAGTGAAGCTGCGGAGCTGAGCCCCAGGCCCAGATCCTGATAGGTTGCCTTTGTGTCCCCAAAGAGGTCTCCAAGAGGCCACAGAGACAAACAGGCTCTGGATCCCTGGGTGATCTTTGGCATTCTTGACCTAAATTCTCTATTGTTTTGTTTTATTTTATTTTTACATTTTATTATCTATTTAAATGTACTGTGTGTCTATTTAAATGCTACTGTTGCATTTTAAAAATATATGCTGAAAGCTGACTCTGCAGTATTGGCCCCTAAAAACTTAAGTATATCAATCATATTTTAACAGCAAAATTAAATAACAAGATCACACATTAATGATATGGATATAGGAGACTTTCCCTCCCATATGCCTCATCACGCTGATATTTATAGCCAGTAATGCAGTTTAAACAGTTGAAATTCATCAAAATGTCATATTTTGGTTGACTTGAAAAGCTCTTTTAGTCTCTGCTGTTTGAAAGTTTAGTCCGTGGATGGTAAAATTTCTACTGTAGACACATTTCTGATCCACGCCAAGGTCCCCTTCACCTCCTCATCTTTAGGTAAAGAATGTCTCTATCTGCCTTCTCAGTGTGGATCATTCTGAGAGGGTAGCATCTCTGAGTGTTAGACGTTTGAAGCGTCTCCTGGTTTCGGGGCTAATACCGAAGCCTTCTACCTCATTTACTCCATTCCTTCCTCACTAAAGCCAAGAAGCATTTCCAGAGACCTACTATGTACCTGATTTGCAGAGCACTGGGTCAGAAGCTAAAGCAGACCCGGCCCTTCCTGAAGGAGCCCACCAGTGAGTGGGGGAGACAAAATATGAACACTGTCTTCTCCACACAAACTATTTAAAAATCAGCGTCTAAAATCCTGTCTGCTCTGTAATTAATCTGGCCTTAGGCAAGACCCTCGTCTTCTCTGGGGCTCAGCTTTCATATCTGTTGGGGTTAAGCTAGATCAGAGATGACCAACAGCTTTCATTTTGAGTGTTAGCTTCCTTGGTGGCTGCTGAGAGTTCCATATTTGGAAAGATTGGGAGGTCTTATCTGGACTCAGCAGAAAGGAGCTGGAATTGATTAGCAATGTCTGCTGCACATAGAGTAGGGAAGAGAAATACCATGTGTAACATCCCAGGACTGAGGGTTTCCAGCACTTATGTTCTCTAAGACTTTTCATAGGGCAAGAGCTTTCCTTGGCAAACGCTGCCCCAGGCTGCTGGATGGAGCCTGGCCTGCCTCTTGCCCAGCATAGGATTTGGCACAAGGTAGGCACTCTATAAATGTTAGTGACTCCCCTCCTGTCCCATAGCATTTATATAGAATTGGTATTATTTCCTCCTTAAATGTTTGGTAGCATTCTCCAGGGAAGCTACCTTTATAGAAAGGTTTTTGTTTGTTTGTTTGTTTGTTTTGCCACACTGCGCAGCATGTGGGATCTTAGTTCCCCTACCAGGGATCGAACCCTGGACCCCTGCAGTGAAAGTGCGGAGTCCTAACCACTGGACCGCCAGGGAATTCCCAATTTTAATGTCTTTAATAAGGCAGTTTAGATGATCTGTTTTTTTTCTTTTCTTGGTAGTTTATGTCTTGCAAGGAATTTGTCCATTTCATCTAAATTGTCAAATTTCTCAGCATAAAGTTGTTTATAATCTTCTGGTATTTTTCCTCCCTTTTGGATGACAGCCCTCTCCTGCTTTCTCTTTCTCTCCTCCTCCCTTTGTACTGCTCTGCTCAGTGGTTTCAAGGGGACTCTCAGTCTCGTGGGGCAGATAGCTGAGCAAACCTACCAGATCACCATCCTGTCACAGGTGCTGAGATGGGGTCTGCGCAGGGATTGGAGGAGGCCGGTGGTCAGGAAAGACTTCCTGGAGGAGGGGATGCTGGCACTTTATGAACAATAAGCAGATGTGGGTATGGGGTGGCGAAAGGGCATTCTGGGAAGGGGAGCTGTGTGAGCAAAACCACGAAGGGGTGAAATGACTTGACTTACCTGGGGAGTTGCCTGGGAAGTAATTCAGCTTTATCTGAGCCTAGGTGTGAGGAAGGGAGTGGAGAAAGAGAGGGCTATTCAGACTGACAGTTTCTGCAGGGCCTTGAGTGCCAGACTAAAGGAATTTGGAGGGAAACAGAGTGGTTAAAGAGTTTTCAGCAGAGGCTCACATGGTCAGCTCTGGGCTTTACAGCATCAACCTGGTTTGGAGGGAGGCAACAGTAGATGCAGAATGGCAACAAAGAGGCTGGGGCCACGAGCAGGAGGGAGATGGTGGTGGTTTGACCTAAGCAGGTTTGAATAAAAAGAGGAGTCTCGAGGTTGTAGCCTTCATGTTAGTTTTTTCCCAGCTTTTTCTTAGTTGAAGTCTCTGTCTGAGCTGCTCTCCAGCAGGCTTGTAAAAGTAGGTAATTCCACCCAGTGGGGGCGAGCACTGGCGTCAAGACTCTTTGAATCGCACGGGTGATCTGAAAAGCCTGGAAGACATGAGGGATCTAGGATGCTGGGTTGTGACTGGTCCTTGAGATTTGGGGGAGTTTGTGGAGACTGGGCAGCTGCCCCAGTCTGGAGCCAGAGCTCCTGGAAGCCTCTCTGGGCTTAGGATCCTCCCAAGCACCCAATCACTGGTCACATTGTTCAGAACTTCCCTGCCCTCATCCCACTTCTAAGACCACCTCCAAGGGCCCATGGCCTGTCCTTTGGATGTGAACTTGGCAGGGCAGCTGGGCATCTTTCCTGAGGTCTGGGGCTTGTTGGGTACAGAGCTTCCTGAGAACATCCTAGAAGAAAAGATGTCACTAGCAAACTGCAGTTGCCAGCCAGAACCCTACTTCCCTGGCCTAAGTCAGGGGCTCAGCTGGGTATCAGCAACCCCAGCCTGCCTTCTAGACCTTTTCCTCTCTGAGGGCAGGAGTTTGCACAAGTGTCTTGAGCCTATTCTCAGCTATAGCGATGTATTTGTGACCAGAGTTTGGGCCCAAGCTGACAGCCAACACGCCTCTGTCTGCTGCTTAGAGAGGCCCATTATGTGCAAGGATCTGGAAGCAGGGCCAGCCTGGGCCCTTGGAGACCAGGCCTGGGGGAAAAGGGAGGGACAGCCAAATGCCTCCCCTCCCTCCACCTGCAGTGAGGCTGACAAGACACAGGTAACAGGGAGCCTGTGATGCATTAAAAAATAATACTAAAGGACAAAAATGAATAAAGCCAATTTTAGTACTTTGTACAAAGTAGAGAAGGTTCACCCCACACAAAGATCAGGCTTTTAAAAGATACAGGCATGGGACTTCCCTGGTGGTGCAGTGGTTAAGAATCTGCATGCCAGTGCAGGGGACACAGGTTCAAGCCCTGGTCTGGGAAGATCCCACATGCCACGGAGCAACTAAGCCCGTGAGCCACAACTACTGAGCCCGCACGCCTGGAGCCGGTGCTCCACAACAGGAGAAGCCACCGCAATGAGAAGCCCACGCACAGCAACGCAACTAGAGAAAGCCCACGCACAGCAACGAAGACCCAACGCAGCCAAAAAATAAATTTATTAAAAAAAAAAAGATACAGGCATAGAGTAGCACGTACATAAAAGACACAGAGAATAGTAGGAATTGCTATAATCCCTGTTTTACAGACAAAGTCACCAAGATTTGTTGAGAATAAATAACTTTCTTCAAGACATACAACTAATAAATTGGCTGACTCAGAATTCAAAACTAGGTCTGTCTGATTGCAGAGGCCACTATTGACTCTGCCTTGGATAATACCTACCTCTCATAGTTGTTTGCAACATAAAAAAATAATGCATGTAACATGCTGGGACCAGTGTGCATAAGTAGGCACTCATTTATTTTATTTGCTATTTATAAGGATGAGACAATGCATTTGAGGTTTATGGCACAATTCCACACAGTAAACGTTTGATAAACGTCAACCTTTGTCGTCATCACATCAGCAGCAGCATTTTTGTTTTCTCCAGTAAACCTGAAGGTCTCTGCAGGCAGGAGTCATATGTAGTTTGCCTCAGAGCCCCAAGCCTG